ATCCGTGGTTGTGGGAAATGGGCACTGGTGGAGGGATGGGTATTTGATCATTGTATAATTGAAACCCAAGCACAAAATTTTTAAGTCTACAACTGTACCTCATGGTGTCTCACTAATAAAAATTTAAAAACAAAACAAAAAAACCCCCAACAATCTGCTCCTTATGATATCATAAGAACCTCGTTAATCGTGCTGGCTGGGAACTTCTCACAGCTTTCCCGTTCACGTGATTTTGCCAGGAGGCAAGTCCTGGGGTCCTTTTCCTGACCAGGACCCCACAAATGGCACCCCCTGGTGGGGGGGAGCAGACAGACCCAAACTCCTTCTGGCCACAAAAAATTACTCTCTTCCTGGCCCTGTGTTTCCCGAAACTTTTCGATACTGGCTAAGAATAGGGGTCAAAGGTTTGGCTGTCAGGTCCCTCTCTATTTTCACTTTAAGCACTTTTTTGGAAACTGAACACAGGCCAGCTCTTGCAACACTTAAAAAAAAGTCTCCTTGATGCAGAGTGCGGGGAAGGTTCTGGTCAAAGATCTCCAGGCAGCTGTTGCCAGAGGGAGGGTCACAGCCCCTCACTGGCCAGCGCCTCCAGGCCGCTTGGATCTGGGATAGCGGGTTGTGGAGAGCTGAGCCTACACTTTGGATAGGCAGTGGCCAGGCCAGAAACGCCAACAAGAGGGCGAGTCAAGCCCCAGAGCCCTGATCTCCCCATGTGCCCCCAAAGCAGAGCAGCTGGCTAACTAGAGGGGCCTTGAGCTTACAACACTTCATGCTAACTTGGTTCAAAACACTGATTTTCATAAAAATCCAAATGCAACATGGGCTCATTGACTGGTGCCTACAACATAATATATATATATATATATATATATATATATATATATATATATTATGAGGGAAACTGGTAGATTTAAATACAGTCTGGAGGATCTTGTTTGTTGGGTTGGGGCTACTCCTGGAGGCACTCAGGGGACCATCTGTAGGCTGGGGAGAAGAAACCCCATGTGCAAAGCCTGTGCTCATCCCAGCCCGTTGAGCTCTGCCCATGGGGCAGTGTATCGGGCAGATCCTGGTGTGTCGGTTTCTTCGTCATGACGGGAAGCGTAATCATGTCAAAGTTAAATTGGGCTCAGCTGGAGGGAATCACTGCAAATCTCTGCAGCACTGCTGTGTCTTTCTATGATCGTAAAATAATTCCAGAAGTTTGTTTAAATGGGGAGGAGGGAGGAGGGGATAACAGTAGATTTACCAAAACCTAAGCAAAAACAAAATAATGGCTATGGGGGTAGAGAGACAGCAGTGGCCAACCTGGCTGACTCCTCAGCACCACCAGGAGTGATCCCCGAGCACCACCGTGTGTGGCCCCAAAACAAACAAAGAAAGTACTTTTTGGGCCAGCTCTTTTTGTATATTTCTTGGAATTGTTCTAGTTTCCACCGGGATTTTACTGTTACAATGAAGACAAATCTAGCCAACATTGGGGATGAACTTTCTTTCATGTAAAACACGTGATTTCTCGTAACTCTGAAATTCCCTACTGAGCAAAGAGACTAAACACAAAGATGAACGTTTTATTGTCAAAAAGCTGCCTTAGGTCAGCAGAAACCCATTTGAAAGCATTCCATTTCTTTCTTTTTCTTGTTTTTTTTTTCCACAATTTTGGGCCACACCAGCGATGCTGAGGGGTTCCTCCTGGCTCTGTACTCAAACACCCTGGCAGTACTGGGGGGACCACATGTGGTAACTGAACCCAGGTCAGCTGCATGCAAGGCAAGGCCCCGGCGCATTGCACCATCTCTTATAGCCCCAGAGCATCCATTTTCTGAGCCAACATTAAAATGGACAGTTTAGGGGGCTGGAACGGTAGGACAATGGGGAGGGTGTTTGCCTTGTACACACTGACCTGGGTTCAATCCCCAGCATCCCATATGGTCCCTCATGCACTGTCAGGAGTGTAGAGCCAGGAATAACTCCTGAGCATCACTGGGTGTGACCCAAAAAGCAAAAACAGAAAGAAAGAAAGAAAGAAAGAAAGAAAGAAAGAAAGAAAAAGAAAAAAGGACAGTTTTGGTTCTTACACGAACCGGAGTGAAGTAGGCTGAGGGTTCAGGACGTGGGTGGCCGTGTGGCATTCGTGAAGAACCCTTAGCACCTGGCATCCACAGAGCCATAATCACCACTAAATCTTTAAAAAACAAAAAAAAAATGTTTCTGCAAATGTCTCCAGAAACATTTACGAGCTGAAAAGTTAGATTTTGGCTTACACGAACCCTTTGGCAATCCTCTGATGGTGGATTTCCCCACATTTCTGTTTGTTAGACAATAATCAGAACTTTTCTTTTCAAACATACTGAACTTTCTCAGACCTTCACTTGAAGTAGGACATAATTAAGAAAAACAAAACTGGAGCTGAAGTTCCCGTTTTAAAATCAAGGAAAAGCAGGTTTACCCAGGGGAGGCGACCTCTGCCCCATCACCCCCTCTGAGCCCTCTGAAACCCTCCCTTGGCTGTATCTCATCTTCCTTGCGAAAACTGTATTTCCACCAAGATAAGAGGGAAGCATGAAATAAGAGCCGGAGGCCAGGAAACCATCCTAACTGGGCCAGCCAGATCCAGGAGCTACTTGAGGACCATGAGTGAGGTCAGAGAACCTCATGAGGGTCTCATGAGGGGACAATGCTATGGTACCCCCCTCCTCACGAGCCTCGGGAGTTGCTGCACTCTTGGGTCAATTCACTATTTTTAATTTTTTAAATTTCAAGTTAAAGTGTTTCAAACGGGCGAGAGAGAGAGGGAGAGAGAGAGAGAGAGAGAGAGAGAGAGAGAGAGAGAGATTACAGTGAGTAAGGCATATGCCTTGTAAGCAGCTGACAACCTGGTTCTATCTCTGGCACTGAATATGGTTCCTTGAGTCCCACCAGGAGTGATCTTTGAGCACAGAGCCTGGAGTAAGCCCTGAGCACTTCTGGGTGTGGGCCAAACACAGGAGGACACTGGAGGATGTACGGATCCACAGTCCGGCAGGCAGGGCACTTGCCTTGCACGTGGCTTCCACGTTTGTTTCCCAGCATCCCATATGCTCCCCTGAACCCGCCAGGAATGATCCCCAAGCACAGAGCCAAGCGTCATTCCTGAACACTGCAGGGTGTGGTAAGCCCTGAATACCCCAATATCAAACAAACAAACATTAAAAAAAAAAAACAAACACAAGTGGCTGTGGCCACTTTCCTCGATGAGATGTCATGCATCCATTAAAGGCAGATGGCTAACAGCTTCTTGGAGGTGTCTGAAGTTCATCCTTAAAACAGGATATGACAGAGGGACCCAGAGGTGATACTGCCCCCACGAAAGAAGTGGGGAACTGGCAGTCAAGTACCTGCCGGACTCCTCAGACAGGGGCTATAGGACATGCAATGACCCTGGACCATTGGAGGCCGCTCCATCTCCCGCCGAGCACCTTGAAGGTGTTTCAGGGCTAATCCCACCAGGCGGGTCTGCAGGAGAGCGGGGCAGGCTGTCTGCAGGGCAGCACCCTGAGACTGTAGCCACTGTCAGTCCACAGCCCACAGCAAGATCAAAGTGCCTGGTGAAATGTGGCCTGGGTTTACAGACAAACAAAACCGGGCAACGCATCGGCACCTTCTCTAAGCAAGCCTGAGCTCTGGACATGGGGAGTAGGGAGCACACGCAGAGAGCAGCGCATTTGAGGGGGAAAAAAAATTGATCATACTCTGTTGAAAGTCCATGAAGTGTGTTGATACAGCTTGACAAAAAGGAGATAAAAATGCCGCATCATTTATGTGATGCTGGGTACCAGCCTCTGCGAATGCCAATTCCCAAATAACAACAGTCGGTGTGAAATCTCTGACTTCCCTGAGGCTACACCCTCAACAGAAATGGGAACAGAGGCCCCGAATTTGTAAGATTGAGATTTTGTTGGCTCCTTTGGGGGGGGGGGCACAGTTGGCGGTACTCAGGGATCACTCCTGGGGGGACTCCGGGGACAGAATGCGGCTGCATCAGAATCAGGTCGGCCGTGCGCAGGGTGAGGGCCTTAACCCCTGCAATGATTGCGCGAGACTGAGATATTAGTGAGGGCAATACCCACAGAATTGAGGATGTGGGGAGGCCCCACCCGGCTGCAGTTCCAGGAATCTAGTAAATTCTGTGAAATGGAGACAAGTGGAAACAACTAGTTTCAAAGATTGCTGGAGAGATAGAACAATGGGGACGACACTTGACTCGCACGCAGCCAATCCGGGTTTCATCCCTGGCACCTCATATGGTCCCCTGTGCCCCGCCGGGAATATGATTCCTGAGTGCAGAGCCAGGCATAAACATTAGCATCGCTGCGGGTGACCCCCAAACAGAACCCCCTCAAAATCAGAAAGTCCAACTACTCCAAGAAGCATGGGTAAGAAAGAGATGAACTTTAAAATCAGTGTGTCTGTGCGTGTCAAAGACAATTCTTAAAGCAAACACAAAATTAAAGTGTATACAGTTATGCAGGCAGGCACACACATGCATACATTCGGACATGTGCCAACATTCACATACATACCCACATATCTGTTTGCACGGACAGCCATTCATGCACACAGTCACACACACGCACACGCTTACAGTACACATACACATTCAATCACACATGCACACAGACACACACGCATGCACACGCTTGCAGTCACTCATGCACACACTCAATTGCAAGTGCACACAGTCACACATTCGCGCACAATCACACATGCATAGTCGCACACGCATACACACACAGTCACACACGCACATGCTCAATCACACATGCACACACACGCACTCACACACCTGCTCCCACTTACAGAACACTTGGGGCAGCTCGGCCCGGTGGTCCTCAGGGATCTCTGAGCGCCCGGAGAGCCCCCCACTCCTGCGTCCCCTGGCCAGTGTCCCGCGGCCGCGCCCCGGCTGGCCCTGTCCCTACCGGGTCCGGCCAGCGCCTCGCACTTGTGCCGAGTCTCACCTGCATCCTCGGCGCCGGGGAGCGCGCGCCTCCTGCGGCCGCCGTCGCTGGCGTTGCTGCGGCCCTGGAAGAGAAGACCCCGCGGTCAGGGCGGCCGGGCGAGGCGGGGGGCGCGGGGGCTCGGGGCGGGCGGCCTCACCTGCACCGCCCAGGTGCCCGCGGGGGGCGCGCCCGGCCCGGGCCCCGGCGGCAGGCGCGCGCGCAGCCCGTCCAGCTCGGCTTGCAGCGCGGCCAGGCGCTGCAGGGCCAGCGCGGCCAGGCCACAGGCCAGCAGGGCCAGCAGCAGCGCGGCGGCGGGCAGGCTGCGCTCTGGGCAGGACAGGCGCCGGCCGGGGCCGCGCTGGGCCCGGAGGATGCCCGCGCGCATCTCTGGGCCGCGCGCTCCGCGTCTGCAGGCGCGCGGCGAGCGCCGGCCGGGCCCTTGGCATCCGTGACCGCGCCGGCCGGGTCATTTCCTGTGGTCTGCCTCGGTGGCCGTCCTGCCCGGTTAGGCTGCCCCCCGGAGCCGGCTCCTGGGTCCCCGGCCCCGGCCCCACCGCGCTCTCCCCACCGGCCGGCCGGCCTTGTGCAATCCGCCCTTCCTCATTTCACTTTCAGTGTTTGCAGAACCGACGGGTCACCTCCAGCCCGGGCACCTCAGCCCTGGCCCCCGCAGTTAGCCCAGCGATGGCCCAGGCGGGGCGCGCACCTGGGGGCAGCGGGGGACCCCTGGGGAGGCCAGCCCCGGATTCGGGCGTGGCGCTCAGAAAGCAGGGGGCTGCGGGCAGCACTGCCTGGTGCCTGGACATGGCACTGGCCTCAGTCCGAGGGACAGCGATTCTGCTGTCCGCCTGTGCTCCGTCTGTCTGTTCACCTGGCAGGCTGTCTGTTAGCAACCTGTGCCTCAGCCTAGCGGCTGTCTGTCGTCTACCTGGCAGTCTGGTGGGCTACCTGCCTGCCAGATGCTGTTTGGCCCTCTGTCTGCCCGCGAGCCTATCTGTCTGTCTGACTGTCTGTCTGGCTGTCAGGGGTACAGTCAGATCCCAGGGGATCGTTTGCTGCTGTCTTACTGATCCCACTGAACACATTCTGCTGGATCCTGGAGGAGGGCTCAGATAACACGGGAGAGGGGGTGCATTTTGAGGGTCCCCGCCGCTGAGCCTCTGTCGCCTCAGCCTGAGTCTGTGGGCTGGAAAACTGACCTACAAGGACACGAGCAGTGTCCTTTCTTTATCTTCCTGGCCCCCAGACTCCTCACTCCAGGCTCTGTAGGACCCCCCCCTCCTCCCCACCCCTGGGAGCCCCAACTTCCAGGTGTCTCTAAGCCCAGGCCCTTCCCTGCTCCTCTGCTTACTGAGACAGGTCCCCAGGAGACGGCAGGGGTGAGGGGAGGCCTCGCTCCAGCTGCTCTCATTCACTCAACCCACCAGTGGGCTCCCACCCCTGTCAGGAGGCCAAAGGCTTCTCTCAGACAAGATCTGAGTCGCCTGGCCCCCATCTCCATCCCCTGCAGGGTCCGAGCAGACACCTCACCCCCTCACCTGCAGGTCAATTCCTGCCAACCATTCTCACTTCCTGTCTGTCTCACAAGCACAAGTCCACACACTGGTTTGGGTTTACTGTGATACCTCCTTTCTCCCCGGGTATGTGTATGTGTGTCTCTTGGCTGAGCCAGGGCACACACCTGGCTGTTTCTGGGGCCCACACCTGGCTGTGCCTGGGCCCACACATGACTGTTTCCGGTGCCCACACCTGGCTGTTTCTGGGGCCACACCTGACTGTTTTCGGGGCCCACACCTGGCTGTGCTCACAGGGCCTTGTGTGGTGTCAGGGTCTGAAGCACGTCTGCAGCAACTGCAGCTAAACAAGCACCACAAACGTTCCGCCTCTCGACTCCTTTACTCCCCTTTGCGCCCGCCAGTTCAAAGTCTTTTTAATGACTTCCAGAACCAGCTTTTCCTCAGTGATGCCCTTATGGGCAGTTCTGAGCTTCACGGGCAGTCCTCACTGACCAGCATGTGTGTAACTGAACACAAACCCTCTGTTGGGGTCCCGTCGTCCACCAGGGTCCAAGTGAGGCTGCACCACGTGGCTCTGATACAGGTGAGCAGATTTGGGGCTGGGTGCCTGGGCCCACACCTGGCTGAAGTCACCTGTGAGCCCTCCAGAACGTTCCCCCAAGTGCATAGAATAATCCTGGCCCTGAGCACGGCACATGGGCGGCCTCTGCAGGCAAAGCCAGCTGTGTGCAAGGAGGATGGGCAGAGGGGAGGGGCTGGGTCTTCCCTACAGAGGGAGCTGCGGGCACTGCCATCCTGAGAACCCAATGACCACCTTCTGCACCAGAGTGTGTTCAGGGAGTCACAGCCCCACAGGAAGGTATTTCTGGCTTGCTGGCTTCTGGTTTTGGCGATGGTGGGTCTGTGCATACGGAGCTGCCTTTCACACGCTCCTTTTTCTCAGCGTGAGCATAAACCAACCACAGTTATGGTAAATTTAATACACAAAGCAAGCTTCCCGGTTCCTTATCTCGTCCACTCAGGAACGAGCCCAGTGGGAGGAGATGTAAGACAAGCAATGTTAGGGGTTAGCCAGGAAATGGGAAAACAGCATAAGATAATTCTGTGAGTCATTGTATTAAAAACTGCAGAAAACAGTGAGAAACAGAATGATGAATGAGTGGTCTAAGAGTACGAAGGAGGGGGGAGGGAGATGGACAAGGGTTAAGCGCTGGCCTTGCCCCCCCCTCAGCTGACCCATCTGATCCTTGCTGTGTCCCTGAGCCCAGCCAGGAGTGATTCCTGAGCACAGAGCCAGGAGTAAGTCCTGAGCACAGCCAGGGGTGGTCCAACTCCCAGCAATACCAAGAACAGACACTTTGATAATGACTTTTTATTTTGGAGGGGTCACACCTGGCGATGCACAGGGGTTACTCCTGGCTCTGCACTCAGGAATTACCCCTGGCGGTGCTCAGGGGACCATATGGGATGCTGGGAATTGAACCCAGGTCGGCCGCGTGCAAGGCAAATGCCCTACCCTCTGTGCTATTGCTCCAGCCCCAAGAACAGACACTTTGGGAAGGCTCCCTTACAGGCTCTGTTGGGAAGGAAAAGGGGGTCTCCTATAAAGCTGCCAGTGGCTCAGGCCTTGCAGCCAGGCGAGAGACTTAGACTGGACCCTCAGTGCTCGGCACACAGATGATCCCTGAGACCCCACAAGGATTATGTTTCAGGAAAAGGAAGCATTTTCTGGCAGAAATAAATCTGCCTTTATTCATATTCACCTCTTCAATTCCAGAGATATTGTTTACCCCTAACTTTTTTTTTTATTTTTGGGTCACACCGGCGATGCACAGGGGTTACTCCTGGCTCTTTACTCAGGAATTACTCCTGGCGGTGCTCAGGAGACCATATGGGATGCTGGGAATCGAAACCGGGTCGGCTAGCATCGTTCCAGAGAAATCTGATTTGGAAGGTAGAAAGCGGATCACCTGTCATTTGACCAGAAAATAATGGCAATTTGAAAAGATAAAAAAAAAAAAAAGCACAGCCTAGCCATTTCTGACAGAAACAGGGGCGCTGTCCACACCCCTCCTCCTCCAGTCACATCACTGGGAGAGGCTGCGTGCTGTCACTGAGGTGCAGATTTTGGCCATGCTTGACCCCAAATCCACTTTGGTGATATGTTGGTTTGGGTTTTAGATTTTTTTAAATTCTGGGACAAAGGTTCCATCAAAGAAGGTTTTATTTGTTTTGAATTTTATTTACTTTTTAAAAATTAATTAATTAATTAATTAATTTTGCTTTTTGGGTCACACCCGGCAATGCACAGGGGATACTCCTGGCTCTGCACTCAGGAGTTACTCCTGGCGGTGCTCAGGGGACCATATGGAATGCTGGGAATTGAACCCGGGTTCGCCACGTGCAAGGCAAACGCCCTACCCGCTGTGCTATCTCTCCAGTCCCTATTTACTTTTTTTTTAATCCTCCCTGAGATCTAGAACCTCATCATCGTCATCCTCTCGAGTCGCGAGTGGTGCTTTTCCATCCATTGGACCATTCAGGCAGAGTTTCAGCCAGTCTCCTTAAACTAGTCGGACTGGCTGCACCAAGCTGGTTCAAGAGGCTGGGAAGCTTTTCTGTCAGCTGCTGTGCTCAGCATGGCCTATAATGGTGACAGTGATTGCTGCCAGGGACGCTTGAACTTTAGAGTTATTAAAGTGGATCACTTTTCCTTGGTTTGTGAACATATTCACCTCCTCAATACCAGAGATATTGTTTTTTTTTAAAGTTTTCAGGCTTTTATTAAACATGATTCTGATGTGCTTATATTCCCCCCTTTTATTTATTTATTTATTTATTTTTTTATTATTAGTGAAACACCATGAGGTACAGTTGTAGATTTACAAATCTTTGTGCTTCGATCTAGGTCATACCACGATCAAATACCCATCCCTCCACCAGTGCCCATTTTCCACCACCAGGATAATGTCCCTCCCCCCCATCCCCCCCATCCCCCTATCCTCCCCTGCCACTGTGGCAGGGCATTCCCTTTTGTTCTCTCTCTCCTTTTGGGTGTTGTGATCAGCAAAAGAGGCACTGAGTGGCGAATATGTTCAGTCCAGTCTACTTTCAACCTGCATCTCCCCTCCTGGGAGGATCCTCCAAACACCCTCCATTTGGTGTTCCCTTTTCTATCTGAATTGTCCTTTCCCCTAGAATACCCGGCTGGCCTCTAAGCTATGGAGTAATTCTCCTGGTGTTGATCTCAGCTATTCTTGGGTATTAATCTCATATTTTGTTATTTTATATCCCCCAGATGAATGCAATCTTTCTATGTCTATCCCTCTCTTTCTGACTCATTTCGCTTAGCATGATACTTTCCATATTGTACCACTTGTATGTAAAGTTCATGACTTCATCTTTTCTAAGAGCTACATAGTACTCCATTGTGTAGATGTACCAAAGTTTCTTTAACCAGTCATCTGTTCTTGGGCACTCAGGTCTCTTCCAGTTTCTGGCTACTGTAAAGAGTGCTGCAATGAACAAACAAGTGCAGATGTCACTTCGGCTACACATTTTTGCCTCTCTGGGATATATTCCCAGGAGTGAATACCAGAGATATTGTTTACGCCTAACTTCTTTTTTTTCTTTTTTGGCTTTTTGGGTCACACTGGCGATACACAGGGGTTACTCCTGGCTCTTCACTCAGGAATTACTCCTGGCAGTGCTCGGGGAACCATATGGGATGCTGGGAATCAAACCCGGCTTGGCAGCAAGCAAGGCTAACACCCTACCCACTGTACTGTTGCTCCAGCCCCTATGCCTAACTTCGTTAGGAGAAATGAAGTTTCTTGTCATCTGCTATAGCTGTTCTATGAATCACCTTCTTTCTGCGAGCAGTTCCTTTCCCACCAGTGTGCACTTGGGCTTGCAGTTTGGTGAGCTTCTCTTGGTTCATTGTTTCTTTCATCTTGTTGGAGCAGAAATGGGACCACTCGGGGGACTAAGGGCTGGTGCTCA